GCAGGCCCTCGCCGCCCTCCCGCGGCCGGCGGCTGCACCGCTCGGGAGGCGGCGCCGCCGCTCGGAGTTCACGCGCGCCGAGGCGAGCAGCACGGGAGCAGCGCTCGCCTCGTCGCCGTGGGAGGCAGGGCGCAGCGCAGCAGGTGCCGAGGGCCTGGAGCAGGCGGTGGGAGGAGAGCAGTGGTCGTGTGGTGAGGGAGGTCGGGGGCGTCCAAGAGGTGGGCGTCCAAGAGGGAGGGGGGTACAAGTCATGGCTGGCGGCACGTGCGCGGCCCATGGGGGGCGGGCCGGGGACGTATTGAAATCAGCCATGAATCCTGGGGAGATATCATGGCCCCCGCCATGATGCCCCCACCCCTAGTCATCACCCTCCTCTTGGCCGCCCGAGAGAACGGGGTGGAAGGATGAAGAGCATGAGCAATAGCATCTGGACGCAATGAACGATCCCTTCGGCCGCCTACGGGCAAGCAGATCCACATGTATCCCAACCCTATGCTGCCCGCCCGACAGCTGCCTTCCTGGCGGTGGCGCAGGCCGCCAGAGAGCGCCGCTCCGGACGCGAGAGCTAGGCACCGTCGCGGCAGCAGGACGAGCCAGAGCTCGTCCGCGGCCCTTGAGGTTATCCACTGGAGCGCAAGAATCGGCGGCGAGCCCGAGGGGAAATCAGATCTCAGAATGCTCGGAAGCCCCCCCGCCGTCTGAGCAAAGTCCTAAGCCTTCCCCGAAGACGCAGAAAACCTCTCAGAAGGCCAGGGGGGTTCTGAGAAGTCCCGCCGCCTTCTGAGAAGGCCTTCTCCTTCTCATTTCCATCCCTCGCTCGCCGCCGAAAGAACCCAGATAGAGAGTACCAGTGCGACGCGTGCGAGAAGCACACCTCGACTGGCAAGCGTGTCCACGACTGCCGCAGGTGCGAGTGCTGCATGTGTGTGCAGTGCCACGCGGCCGCGCAGGAGATGTAGGGACGGCTGGGCGCGGTCCGAAAAATTTGGCTGGCGCCCCCGCGGGGGCCGTCGGCTGCTCCCACCCCTGGGGTGGGAGGAGGAGGAGGGGATGGAGGAGGAGGAGGAGGAGAAGGAGGAGGAGGAGGAGGCGGAGGAGGAGGGCGGAGGAGGCGGAGGGGGAGGAGGCGGAGGGGGAGGAGAAGGGGGAGGCGGAGGAGGAGGCGGAGGAGGCGGAGGAGGAGGAGGAGGAGGCGGAGGAGGGAGGAGGGAGGCAAAGGGGAGGAAGGGGGAGGGGAGAGGGGAGGGGGGAGGGGGAGGAGGAGGAGGAGGAGGAGGAGGAGGAGGAGGACGGAGGAGGAGGAGGAGGAGGAGGAGGAGGAGGAGGAGAGGAGGAGGAGGAGGAGGAGGAGGAGGGAGAGCAGGAGGAAGAGGAGGAGGAGGCGGAGGGGGAAGAGAAGCGGGAGGCGGAGGGGGAGGAGAAGGGGGAGGCGGAGGCGGAGGAGGGGGAGGAGGGCAAGCTAGGTGCGCTCGCGTCATATCTGACATCCTACCCCTCCCTCCCATCCCTTACCATGGCGTAGATCCCCTCTCTACTCGCACAGTCGGATGTCGAGCAGGGCAATGATCCCGAAAGGGTACGCGATGCATTGTAGAGCACGGCATGGCATGGCGTAGAAGAGCACCGCAAAGCGTAGTATCAACCTAGCATTGCATTGCATGCCGTGGCATGGTACGGGAAATGACGCCAGCGCTGCAGCGGGAGCACGAGTCGAAAAAGCGGAAGCGCGGAAATGAGGCCATCGCTGCAGCGGGAGCACGATTCGGAACGAGCGGAAGCACGGAAATGAGGCCAGCGCTGCAGCGGGAGCACGATTCGGAACGAGCGGGGCCCGAAAATGAGGCCGGCGCCTCAGCGAGAGCTGCATTTTGAAAAAAATGCAAGCGAAAACACAAATCCCGGGAATCCTGTGCGTAAAAAACATTACGCGGGGGGGGGGGTCGAACACTCCCAGCACGTCATCAGGGGAAGAGGGAGAGGAGTAGTATTCATGTTGAGTAATTGTGGAGGGGGAGGAGATGGAGGAGGAGGAGGAGGAGGAGGGGGAGGAGGAGGAGGAGGAGGAGGAGGCGGAGGAGGCCCCGGGCTCCGCGGGCCAGGCCCGCGGGCCTGTGAGGCAGCGGACGGCCTGCCACGTCCCCTGCTGGCCTCGGACAGCAGGGGTCATCGCTGGGCAGGGCGCCCGTCCTGGCGTCCTGGGGCCGCCGCCACTCGTCCATTGGCACCCGAGCATCCTCACCATCCTCATCAGCATCATCAGCATCAACATCATCATCGTCGTCATCATCATGATCCTCATCACCATAATCACCATCACCATCACCATCATCATCATCATCATCATCATCAGCAGCAGCAGCAGCAGCATCACCATCATCGTCGTCATCATCATCATCATCATCATCATCAGCATCGTCATCATCATGATCATCATCACCATCATCAACATCGCCATCATCACCATCACCATCACCATCACCATCACCATCCCCATCACCATCATCATCATCATCATCATCATCATCATCATCATCATCATCATCACCGTCGGCATCATCAGCATCAACAGCATCAGCATTATCATCATTATCAACACCATCGTCATCATCAGTAGCATCAGCATCATCAGCGCCCTCAGTGTCAGCATAATCATCAGCAGCATCACAGTCGTCAGCGTCATCCTCATCATCGTCGTCATCGTCATCGTCATCGTCATCATCCTCGTCGTCGTCGCCGCCGTCGTCGTCATCGTTTTCGTCACCATCATCATCACAATCAGTATCATCACCCCCATCATCACCATCACCAACAGCATCATCAACATCATCACCACCATCATCATCAGCAACAACATAAGCACAACCATCACCATTACCATCATCAAACATACCCATCCTGGTATCAATTCTGCCAAAGCGGCGGAAGACGGTCAATCTGGAAACGAAGACCAGGTGCTCGCTTTGACAACTCGTTCTGCCCTGCTGCAGCCTTGTGCCGAAGCTGCGAGCGAGAGCCCAACATGAGGCACGGGACAAGCGCTCTCCTTGGAAACGCCGCGTCGCTGCCATCGCAGATCACCACCTCCACGTTGCTCGAGAGCACGGTGTGCACAGCATCGTAATTCGCCTTGCGGCAGAAAGTCACCGTGCAAAGATGTGGTGCGCTGGTGACGGGTTGGCGCTGCCCTGCCAACATCGAATAGGATCCCCATCTTGGGCGCAGAGCCGACGCAGCCCGGCTGCACCATCGCTGATGCACAGGCAGGCGGCAGGGGAAGGCCGCACGCCCACCGCTCACTCGGGAGGCCGCTCGCCTTCCCGAGGAAACGAGTCGAGCTGGACTCGCAAAGCGTCTCCCGACAACCTACCGGACCCCCCCCCCCAACCCGAGGGTCGACGGTGGACCTTCGGCCCCACGCAGGCGCGACCCCGGGCAAGAGTGACCTCCGGTGCGCGGCTCCACGGGGGACGCGGGGTGGCCACACCTGGGCGCGCAGGCCGCTGCTGCCGCTTCTCCTTCGGCGATCGGGGGGCCCGCATCAAAGATCACTCGCTCTTACGTCCAGTCGAGACCTGTCCATGTCCAGCGGGGGACAACTCCAGAACGTCGAGGAATCCGTGCACTTCCTGATCCGACCTTCGGGAGGGTCCGGGGCCTTCGAGTTGGGTGGGGGTGGTTTGGTAAATGTCGAGCCTTTCAAAGATGAGACTGGTTGTGACGGAACACGGTAGCACACAGCCGTTGGGGTGCGTGCCCACGTGCCTTCACAAAAAAGTACGGGGCCATCGAAGCGTGCAGGTCGTCTCCTGTTTGGGTCTGCTGGTGCTCCGAAGGATCTGGAGCAGAGCGCGCCCAAACAAAAACGAACGCACAACGCGTCCCTCTGATCGTGCTACGCCTACAGCAGAAAACAACGAACAACACTTGAGACAAGACAAAGACATCTCGCAAGGAGCAAGCACCATCATACAGCTATGCTGACCGTCAAGGCCGAAAGCCCAAACACAAACAAATATGCTAGAGAGCTGTCTCGCGTTGTCGGCCCGGAATATTTTCGCGCGGCAGGCCATGCGCCGAGGCCCGCCAAATGCCTGCTGGGCAACCGACGGCTAACAATCCCCTCGGGATGCATGGGAGCAGGATCTGACAGCGGAAGGTAGTTTCGCGATTGTAGCGGTGAAAGGAAGTGATGATCATCAAAAGCAGACGGCAATGAAACGTGGCAATGTCTTGTGCTGCAGGGCTCATCCGTTCTGGAACCACCTCACAGCAATGAGCTCTTATGAATTCAACGCCGCATTATGGATTCAATGAGCTCTTACCGATTCAGTGCACTGGGTGATCGTTGTGTGAAGCGCGGTTGGCGTGAACTGTCGCTCGGAAACTCCTATTTCTGAGCATTGTCCATGGTTTCCATACCTGGAAGTGACCTGTCCACGGCACCCCGAATCCAAAATGTGCGCTTCAGCCTCAAAACGGCATTGACAAGTGGCAGTGGCATATCCACGCAAATCCATGAACGAAAAAGATATTCAACTTCGAACCCACCGGCCGTTCCAAGCCGATTCTAGCTCCCAGCCAACTCACTTCCCAAGACAAGATTGAAGACTGTGTGCTTATCCGCGTTCTCTCCCGTCGCCTCCAATGCTGTCCGATACCGCCAACAATGCTGTCTGATACTACCAACCATGATGCAGTGCGAGAGGGAGAGAGAGAGAGAGAGAGAGATACAGAGAAACACACAGAGACAGAGATGGCGATACATTAAGTAACGCCAGCAACAAACATATCTCACGGACGAGACACAGCTGAAACACTTGGAGTCCAGGGTCCGGAACTTCCTGAGTGGTGCACTTCCAAAGCAAGGATGAGCAGGGCGCGTTCCTGCATATTTAACCCTGTTGTCTGGCCCTACCAATCAAACTTGGCCTCTTGTCCCGAGGTGGCTACAGAAAGCCACGAGTAGAACAAGTAGGCTTGAACAAACTATGGGCCCTCAAAATCCAGCCCCCTCCCTCCCCCCTCGTGAGCCCCTGGCAAAACTGACTAAAGATGAGTGCAGTGTAGGGATTGCCACTGCCAAGCCTGCGTTAGGAAGGCGACCTTCTTGTTGCCGCCCTGGGGGCGAGGCACCATCGCTGAGATACCCATTGCTCCTCCCATCCCTCCTGCAACTCTGGTCTAGCGCACTCATCATCGCCACCCCACGGATATGCCCCCTCCACCCTCACCCTCCTCCATCCCCTCCCTACCGTGCTCCTGTTACCGTGAATACGCATCCTCCGCTCCTCACCCCCCTCGTCCTCCTCCGCCCTCCCTCTCGTCCCCGGCACCACTCCCTTGCAAGGGTGGAGTATCAAGCGACACAAACTCCTAGACTTGTTCTGTCCATCGCTGCCTCCTGCCCAGAAGAAGCCCGCGTGTCAGCTCTTCCTCCCCAATGAAAAACAAACTACGCCCTCTGAGATTCGCCGTATCCCGCAGCTTCCGCACAGCCCATGCGCCGCCCATCGAGGTCAGAGAAGCGAAGGGACAGATCGCCTGCGCAGAGCGGAGGGGCAGGACCGAGTCAGGAGCCCCAGGGAATGCCAACGGCAGAGCTAGTGAAGCTTCGGGGACCGGCGGGGCACAGCCGAGAACAAGCACAACGGGCGGTCCTAGGCGTTCTATGGCCAAGAAAAAACACATTCCCAATCTCAAAATCGCGGCTCCACCGAGGACTCGAAAATCGGCCAAGGATTTCGGGGTATAGTCTGCGTTCGTCGTTGCCCTCTAAGCAAAGCCCGACCCCGAAATCTCCCCCCAAGAAATCTCGAAAAGCCTGCGCTCTGTTCTGGCCCTCGCACTTTCGGGATCGGGTGTCTCTTTTGAGCTGGCGATCCTAAGCTTAGTCGAGGACTCATCGTCCAGCTTTAAAACAGGGCTAGGATCGGGATAAATCGCTCCAGAGCGTTCCGGAGCGCTCTCAGAGCGTTCCGGAACGCTCTGGAGCGGCCGCGGCGCCCAATACATCCTCCAAACCCGCCGATTCTCAGAGATTTCGAGTTATCCCGATCCGATTTTGTCCCAATCTTCGCGTCGTTTTACTCCTCCTCGCCTGACCACCGCAGGACGTGCTGGTCGGGCGGGCCCGGCCGCTCGCTTCCAAGACTTCCCCCCCCGCTCTGGCCATCGCTCGGACGTCCATTCCCTGTGCTCTCTTCAGTTTCGTGCGTGGCTTCGTCGCCACACGATCAAGGATGCTCCTCCTAAGGGGCCCCAGGACACACACACACAAATAAACATAGATTCCCCATATATTTTCCCATGTCTTCTGGGTTTCTGTCTTCCCCCCACTTCCCATATTTGCCCATATTTTCCGGGGAGTCGACGATTAATTGTGTCTGTGTGTTTCTTCCCCTCCTGATCCTCGATGGTCCTCGCCGAAGGAAAAATGCACACGTCCGAACGATGCCCAGCGCTTCTGGCACCGCACCCACGCTTGGCGGGCGCACGACGCCTGCACGGGCGAGGGGGCGATCGTGGGCCAGGGGTGGCGCTCCCCCGAGGCGCCGCGCGCGCTCGTCGTCGGAAGCTTCCAGCCGCTACACGGACGGAGGAGGGGATCGGCGTGGCTCTCTCCTCGGCGCCGGGCGCATTCGTGTGACAGGGCTCCAACAGCTACATAGGTGGAGGGGGGGTAGTCTCAGCCAGCTTCAGCGCCGGATGCACTCGTGTTCCAAATGTCCAGGATCTATACGGGTGGAAGGCCGCTCAGGTTCAGCACGCGGCTCTCGCCTGAGCTCCGCACATATTTGTCTCAAAAGGCTCCAAGACTGCCACACATATTTGGTAAGGAGGCCAATTTAGGACATTGGTTCTTAATATACCGCCATACACATTCGCCTGACAAGCGTCCAACAATCATCCGCCACCGTGCCCATTGGCACGTTGAGGCGTGGAGGGATGTCAGGGGCTGCCTGGCAGGGTATCCTTTTGTGTTCGAATAAGTGGAAGCCCCTCTCTCTACCAACGGACTGCTGTAACTAAGCATCGCCCCTCCTTTCCGAGGCCACTTCCCCCGTGCCCACTCAAGGGTGGTGCATTTCTAACATGTCAGCGAATGCTTAAACCCCCGTTCCACGCGTGCCCACTCGATGATGGTGCACTTCCCGCATGGCAACTAATGCCTGAACCCCCATTCGATGTGCACCCGCTCGAAGATGGCGTACTTCCCGCATGGCTGCTCACTCCTAGACCTCTCATCCCACGCGCATCCGCTCGAGGACCGTGCACTTCCCGCAGACCCTGGCCTTCAAGACGGCGCGAGCGACCTCCAAGAGGGCCCAAACATGCTACAAAAGGACCCCGCACACGGCCCGCGCAGTTCCGCATTCTCGCCTTTGTTTCGGGGTGTTGCTAGCCCAAGAGGCCCCAACAAGACAGAGATGGCCTCAGGACTGTCCAAGAGAGAGTCCCAATACAGCGTCAAAGCGGCCCACCATCTTACCAATAGACCCACGACTGCCGCATGGGAGCCAGCGATAGCCCCAAGACGGCATGTGAATCCCGTGAGAGCTGCTCAAGAAGTGCGTGCGGAAAGGTGCCCTCGCCATCTTCTTCCTCATCCTCAGCATCGTAACCCTGGCCCTCATAATCCTGCTCCGTTCCAGGACGGGCTCGCAGCAATCCTTAATGACACAGCCGAACAACACATATGACGGTTTGGGTGTGCCTGTCCTTCCTCCTGCTCTCTCAGCAGCGTCACCATTTTCAGGGGGGTGGCTGTCTGGTGGCATTGCTTCCTACTGATTGGTGTAAAAGAAGTGTTCGCATTCTCGCATTGTCGGGCTTCCGTCAACTCAAGACGTCTCAAGTGGCCTCCAAGATGTTCCCAAAACGGCCATAGGGCCATAGAGGCCCCACAGAGTGTCAACTGATGACTCAAGAAGGCCGCACGATTGCCCCAAGCCAGCTAAGGAGATCCCTGAGAGAGGCCCAAGGCAGCCTTAGAAGGCTCTTGGAGAGCCCAAGACGTCGCCAAGACGACCCCACGACGGCCCCCAGACACCTCCCATACCGCCAAAAAAACCAAAAGCGGCCCAAGAGAGCCCCAAGCTGGCCGAAGACAGCCCCCTTACGGCCCAGGAAAGCCAAGGACCCAAGGAACCTCCAAAACTGCCCCCCGGGAGGCCAAGACAGCCTAAAACCAGCCCATAATGAGTTCCTGACAGCTTCCTCTTCCTGCTCCTCCTCCTCCTCCTCCTGCTCCTCCTCCTCCTCCGCATCTTCATCGCCATCATCCTTACCATCTTCATCATCACCATCACCATCACCATCACCATCAGCATCAGCATCAGCATCAGCATCAGCATCATCATCATCATCATCATCATCATCATCATCATCATCATCATCATCATCATCATCATCATCATCATCATCATCATCACCATCATCATCAGCAGCGACAACATAGCTCCCCAAGCCTGCAGATACGAGGTGTCACGCGTGACGGCCTCCCGCATTCCTCGAACATCCGCCACCGAAAATGCTGGGCTGGCAAGGCGGCGGGACTGGCCGCAGACAGCTGCGTACGGAGGAAGGCGGTTCCCTTTTCGAAACGTGGCCCTCGCCTGCTCGGTGAGCACGTTCGTCTTCAAAGCTTCCAGCAGTTCCGTTCGTCTCAAAGAGCTTCTGACACTAATGAGGGCACACGTGGCTCTCGCATCCGCGGGGCGAACATTCGCCTGCACAGCTCCAGCAGAACACACTGCTGGAAGGGCGGGCCGTAAACCGGACTCCGTCCGAACCGCCGCGCACGGCCGTCGTACCCACTGCCGGCAACTACATGGATGGAGAGATCATCTTCAACAAAAAAAACTCTCGTGCGCAACGTCCGTGACCCTCGTGGCCAGGCTAGAAGCTTCAGATTGCTGCATCCGTTTACAAGAGGGGTGGAGGGCGGTCCCTCCTCGACTCGGGGACATCGCCCGAGGCAGCCTTCGGTCCCAAAGAGCGCTTGCTCTCAGGGGTTCGGGCCTCGCTCCAAAACGCGGGGGGGGGGCACAGCGGTACACTTTTCGGGGCCTGAAGGCCCCCTCTGGGGCCCTAGAAGGCCCCATTTAGGGGCCCTCGAAGGCCCCTTCTCGCCCCTTTGCTGGCAGCCCTGGCTGCCCCCCCCCCAGTCCCACCCATTTATCGCACCATGTTTTGCCCTGGCTGCCCATTGCGCGACGCCCAGAGGAGCTCCCGCCCGGGCTGTTGAATTAGACGAGATTGGGGAGGTTGCGTTGCGCCTTGCCCTGCGCGTGCGCCCGCGGGCACGCACCTCGCGGGCGTCCCCCGTGCGCGCTGGGTTGGCCTGCCAATGCCGCGGCCTGTCAGGCCCTCGGGCGCGTGGCAAGCCCCCCGCGTTGCTTGCACCACGCAGCTTGCACCGCGCACCTTGCATCCTCCCCCTCCTCCTCCTCCTCCTCCTCCCCCTCCTTCTCCTCGTCCTCCTCCTCCTTCGCGTCCTCCTCCTCCTCCTCCTCCTCCTCCTCCTCCTCCTCCTCCTCCTCCTCCTCCTCCTCCTCCTCCTGATCCACTACATACTCGGGGTTTCTACATGAGCGCGGGTGGGCACCCCCCCGACGGAGGTCAACCTCGCCTCGTCATCGCGTCGCGACGGGGGTCGGGGCGCCCTCGGCGCGCGGTGGCTGCCCGCGACGGGGGTCGATGTGGGGTTGTCGGCGGGGGCGACGCCCCGCCGACGCTCACCAAGGAACTCGGAGTACGTTGCACGGCTCGGGGCGCAGAAGGGGCCTGGTTGATTTCATGCGTTCCTTATTGAGAAGAAAATCTACGCGAATCTCTCCCTGCGACTCCCTCCCTCCCTCCCTCCCTCTCTCTCTCTCTCTATATATGTGTGTGTGTGTGTGTCGTCCCCGTTGCGCTTCTCTTTCTCTTTCTCTGTGTATCTCCCCTGCTCATTGTTTCCCCTCTCTCTATCTCTCTGTTTTTTGTTTGTTCTCTCTCTCTCTCTCTCGCTCTCTCTTTCTACCCCTCTCTCCCTCTCTCTTTCAATATCACTCTCTCTCTCTCTTTCTCTCTCTCTCTCGATCTATCTATATATATACATATACATATATATATATGTATAGTTCGGTCTCGTCTCTCTCTCTCTCTCTTTCTCTCTTTCTGCGTCAGATCTCATCCTCCTTCCCATGAGGTGGAGGGGGAGAGGGACCTCCCCCTCCTCCCCTTTTATGCCCCTACGCCTCTTCCATCCTGAAGGAAGGGAAGGGGGAAGACCCCCCTCATTCGCCCCCCCTCTCCTCCCGAGGGAAACGGAAGGGGCGGAGCCGCATCCTCGGCCTCCTTCCTGACAGAAAGGGCCGGGAATGACCCGGCCCCACTCCTATTCCTCCTCCTTCTAATGGAAATGGGCAGGAAGGGGGCCTCCTCCTCGCCCTCCCTGAGGGAGGGAAAAGGGAAGGGGTTTCGCTCCCCCCCCTCCTCCTCCTCCTCCTCCTCCTCCTCCTCCTCCTCCTCCCGGGGGAAAGGAAAGGGGGGACCCCCCCCCCCGCTGGCCTGAAGGGCGGGGAAAGGAAGGGGCATCCACTTCTCCTTCATACGGGCAATGGAGGGGGAAAGGGAAAGGGAAAGGGAGGCACCTCCCCCTCCTCCTTCTGATGGGAAGGGAAATGGCGGACCCCCCCGCCCCCTCCGCCTACCCCCCCCCCCCCTTCCTGAGGGAAGGGAAAGGCGTGAAATTTCCCCTCGTACTTCCGGAAGGGAAATGAAAGGATTGAGCCCCCTCCTTCTCCCCTTCCCTGCGAAGGAAAGGGAGGCGAATGAGCACCCTCCTCCTCCTCCTCCGCCTCCTCCCCCTACCCGGGGGTCAGGGAAGGGAAGGGAACCGCCTCCTTTTTCTTCCTGAGGGAAAGAAAGGGAAGGATTGCCCTCCTTTTTCTCTCCCTCCGCCCCCCCAGGGAAAAAGGGCAGGGAATGGGCATCCCCCGCCTCCTCCTCCTCCTCCTCCTCCTCCTCCTCCTCCTCCTCCTCCTCCTCCTCCTCCTCCTCCTCCTCCTCCTGATGGAGATGGGCAGGAACGGGGCCTCCTCCTCTTTTTCCCTGACGCAAAAGGAAGGGAATGAACCTTCTTTCCCACTTCCTCTCCCTCCTCCTTTTCCATTTTGTCGGAAAGGGGATGAAAGGGAAGGGGCCTCCCCCTCCCCCTCCTCTGCCTTGATGGAAAGGGAATTGAAGGAACATCCTTCTCCTCTATCCTGCGGGAAAGCGAAGGGAAGGGGGCCTCCTCCTCCTCCCTGAGGGAAACGGAAGGGCATGAGCCCCCCCATCCTCTGCACCCCCCTCCCTGGGGGAAGGCGGGGGGATGAGTTTCCTCCCCGTCCTGAGGGAAAATGAAGGGAGCGCGCCTCCTCCTTCTCCCATTCCCTCTGACGGAAAGGGAAGCGAATGAGTATTCTCTCTCCTTCCTCGGGGACAGGGAAGGGAAGGGAACCGCCTCTTCTTTCTTCTTGAGGGGAAGAAAGGGAAGGATTATCCTCATTCTTCCCTCCCTCCTGAGGGAAAGTGCAGGGAAGGAGCCACGTCCTCATCCCCGTTCCTGAGGGAAAGGAAGGGAATGAGCCTCCTCCTCCTCCTCTTCCTCCTCCTCCTGATGGAAAGGGACAGGCTCCTCTGTCCTGAGGGAAAGGGAGGGGGATGAGTTTCCTCCTCCCCCTCCTCCTCTGCATCCTCCTTCCTGAGGGGATGGGAGGGGAAGGGAAGCTCCTGCTCCTCCTCCTCTTTTCTGGAAGAAAGGGAAGGATCTTAAGATGATTGAGGGTCTCCCTCTCTGAGGGCCCGTTTTGTGGGGGGGGGTCACACATCGATTCCCTGTGTGTGGGGTGCAAATAGCTCTTTTTGCGCAAGGCGATACAAGTTGATCCCCTTTGTGGCGGAATTACACATCAATCTTTTTTGTGGGGGTTACACATAGATTCCCTTTGTGTGAGGGGGTACACATCGATTCCCTCTGTGGCGGAATTACACATCGATTCTCTTGTGGGGGCTACCAACATATTCGCTTTGTGTGAAGGGGCTACATGTTGATCCCCTTTGCTGCGGAATTACACATCGATTCCCTTTGTGGGGGGTTGGGGTGGGGGGGGCGAAACATACATTCTCTTTGTATGAAGGGGGTACACATTGATTCCCTCTGTGGCAGAAGAGGGGTGGCGGGGGCTAGCCCTGGGGGAAAGGTCCCAGGAACAAAAAAAATCGCCCCCCCTGAATCCAGCGGGCCAGTTTTTTGCTGTTCGGGCAGACCCGAGAGAAAAACAACAACAAAAAGCTTGGCCAGTGGATGCAGGGGGCCGGTTTTTTTGTGCTGGGACCTTTCCCCAAGGGCCAGACCCCCTCCCTCCTCCGCCACAAAGGGAATCAATGTGTACCCCCTCACACAAAAGGAATCGATGTGTAACCTCCCACAAAGGAAATCGAATTGCAATTCGGCCAAAACCGCCACAAAAGGGAATCGATCTGTAGGCGCCGCCGAGGGGGAGAAAGAGAGAGAGAGAGAGAGAGAGAGGGAGACAGAGAGAGAGGGAGGGAGAGGTAGAGAGAGAGAGAGAGAAGACCATCGGGGAGCCGAAAGCCCGTCCACTCATCCAGTGTAGAGCTGAAAAACGAAACACCTAAAATCCACCAGCCCCTTTGCGCTCCAAGCCCGTTACACCCACTTGCTTACACCTCATATTCGGCGGCGAGCCCGGGGGGGAAGCGAGAAGGAGCGGGCCTTCTGAGAAGTCTCGGGAGTCCCCCAGCCTTCCGAGAAATGTCCCAAGCATTCCCCGATGACACAAAGGACCTCTCAGAAGGCCAGGGGCCTTCTGATAAGTCTTGCCGCCTTCTGAGCAGGCCTTCTCCTTCTCGTGCCCCCCCTCGCACGCCGCCGACATAGATTGCAACACATGGATTGCACAACAATGCTCCCATCACATAGCTTGTACAACACTCAGCGTGCAGCACACTGCTTGCCGCAAACACAGATTGCACAGCGTATCTTGCACCTCGTGGCTTACACATCGAGGGTGTATAACTCACAGCTTGGCGTCCACGCTGGCAAACACTGAAGAAATGCATGGACGGATTGAGGCCGGTTGTGTTTTCCCTGCGGGGATCCGCTGGACACCTCCTTACACTGTATGATCATACCTCGTCGCCGTCCTTCCAACTAGAAGAATACATGGCTTTCGCCTGAAGTTCTGGACCATGGGGGCCCCGTCTTTCAAGGGGCACTTCCCGCAGTGATCATTACTTCTTCTACGAGCGTTTGAGGAGGGTTCTTGGAACGTGTGGGCGCATTGCAGTATCATTGATGCATTGTGGGCTCACGCTGACCCTCCTCCTCCTCCTCCTCCTCCTCCTCCTCCTCCTCCTCCGCTTACTCAAATTCCGATATATCTTGTCTTGATCCTCCTGCTGCTGATAGTCCTCCTCATCACCACCACCACCATCATCATCATCGGCATCATCATCATCAGCTTTATCATCATCGTCATCATCATCAGCATCATAATCGTCATCCTAATCACTACCATCATCATCACCACCATCATCATCATCAGCATCAGCATCGGCATCATCATCATCACCATCATCATAATCAGCAACAGCACCATTATCATCATCATCATCATCATCATCATCATCATCATTTGCATCATCATCATCATTATTATTATTATTATTATTCTCATCATCACGTTCAGCATTGTCATCATGATCGCCATCACCATCATAATTAGCATCATTACCACTATCACCATATCCATCGTCATCGTCATCGTAACCAGCATCATCATAATCACCACCATCATCATCCCCATCTTAAATGTCGTCATCAGCATCCTCATCAACAACATCATCATCCACATCATCATCATCATCAACATCATCATTATCAACATCATCATCGTCATCATAATCACCAATATCATCATCATCATCATCCTCATCCTCATCCTCCTCATCATCATCAGCAGCAGCAGCAACATCAACATCATCATCATCATCATCATCATCATCATCATCATCATCATCATCATCATCATCATCATCATCATCATCATCACCGTCACTATCATCACCACCTTCCGTCTCCTCCTGCTTCTCATCCTCCTCGAGCTGTCCCTCCTCTAACGCGTCGTCCCCCTTCCTCTGCCGACGCCGACGACTAGGACGGAATGACGTCGGGAGCGGCAAAGAGGGGGGTGTCCAAGAGGGGGGGGGGCCAATCATGACCGGCGGCATGTGCGCGGCCCAGCGGGGGGGCCAGGGACGTAATGAAATAAGAAGAGGCGCCATGAAACCTGGGGAAATATCATGGCCCCCGCCATGATATCCACCCCCCCTAGTCACCACCCCCCTCTCTTCCGCCCCCGATGACGACGATGCGGACCCAGCCTCCGCGACAAGGCCAGGGAGCCCGTCGAGGGCGCTGTTGAGCTCCACGAGGGAGACGACGTTTGCGGCGGCCGCCCGAGCGGTCAGGCCCACGGCCAGGGCTGCGCGAGGGGGGGGGAGGGGGGCCGAGGTCGCACGTCCAGCCGCTCCTGAGCGAGGAAGAGGGAGATGGGGAGGGAGGAGGAGGGAGGAGGAGGAGGAGGAGGAGGAGGAGGAGGAGGAGGGAGGGAGGAGGAGGAGGAGGAGGAGGAGGAAGAGGAGGAGGAGGAGGAGAGGAGGAGGAGGAGGAGGAGGAGGATTGAAGTCCGATCAGCGCAAAGCGGATCGGGGGGGAGGACGAGGAGGATGAGGAGAGGGTGGCGGGGAGGGAAGGGCAGGGAGCCGCAGGGAGAGGGGGATGGGGGAAGGGGAGGAGAGGAGCGAGGAGGAGCTGGCGCAGGAGGCAGTCGGGAGGGCGGTCGCCTCGACGTCAGGTGTCCTTTAAAGCGGGGCGGAGGAGGGAGGAAGGCACGGAGGAGGGAGGGGCGAGGAGGAGGAGGAGGAGGAGGAGGACCATGCAAATCCAAGACGCAGTGACGATGTTGCAATAAACCATCCCTTCAGGCTGCCCCCTTACATAAGATCCCAATAAGATATGCATTTCATTGCGGGAGATGGCCCATGAAAAACCAACCGTCCGAGAGTACTCGATGGTGCCAAAACGCCGTTCCTGCGACTTCAACGCCGCGGAGCGACATGACTGCTGCGCCCAGACAAATTTAAATCATACCACAACACAATTCCTCGGACTTCAACACCGCGAATCAATGTAACTGTTGCGCCCTGACAGCCCTAAGCCGTGCCAAAACACCGTCTCTGGGACTTCGGCCATACGAACCCTTGTCATTGTTGTAAACGTTGAAGACGATTGCGCGCAGCGCTAAGTCAGGAACAACATTTGGAAAAGGAGCCGTCTTCAAAAACGTGAAACTGCTAAAACAATTGGGACAAACGCGCGCGGCACTAAGGTGAGAACCAACTTTTGAAACAACCCGCCCTCCATCAATGAAACTGCTGCAAACGTTCGTGATCTTTGCGCGCCGAACTATGGCGGGAATCACGTTGTGAAAACCGCCCGCCCTCAATCCGTGAACCTGGCGCCGCGAACACAAACTGCTGCGAAAGTCTTGTGCGCGGCTGGACTGACCCGCGTAAGGGCTCTTACACGCGGCCCGGATGCTCTACAAGCAGGGGGCGGTCACCTCGCAGACCAGGAACAATCTCGTAGTCATCGACTATACATTCAATATGGTTCGTCATGTTGCTTCCGCTTCGGTGACCGACTTCATTTCGAAGATGGACTTGGAACTGGATGGACACGGAGCTCCCGATGTACGCACTGATGCTGTTTTCCCTCAGCCTCTCCGGGTCTGCGGCGAAGAGTTCGGCCTCAAGGAGCACGGCTGCACGGATAACGACAAGTGCATCAAGACGGAGGTCGCCAAGGGGGACGATCCCGCAAATGTCATCAAGAACGTCTACGGGCATGGTCCCATGGACGGTGCACATGACGATGCCAAGAAGGGCCCTAAGGTCGGCACAACTCCTAGGCCTGATTTCTCTGTGGGCGGTGGCGCGAGACCCGCATGTGCAAAGCAGCCCCACGTACCGCTGACGACCACGAAAATTGCGATGGACAATCGCGACCCCAACTGGGAGCGGGGCGGCTACAGCAAGGAGGCATTCGCGAATCTCTCCAAACCAGATCAGATCCAGGCGAGGGCGAAATTGTTCGATGGGTTGGAAAAGGAGCTCATGGCGGAACGGGAGAAGCAGAGCTAGAGGATCTCAGAGTTCCAGGCTGGGCTTCTCTTCTGAGCAAGGCGCGCTTGCTGTGCTTGCATGGTCGCGTGAGGTGGCGGAGGAGGTTACCGAAGGGTGTATATATATAGAGAGAGAGAGAGGGAGAGAGAGAGAGAGAGAGAGAAAGAGACACAGAGAATGAGAGAGAGCGGGGAAGCCTGGTGGGCCCGTGGAGGGGGACAGGGCGATGAGGCTTCGCGTTCAGCCGCTTCCTGCCTCCAATGCTCCTCGTGCGCATCGTCGCCATCTCCCGCTTGTCCCCGTCCTGCTCCTCCCACCCCTGATCCTCTGGCTATTTCTGGTCACCCCGCTGCTGCTGCTGGTGCTGATCCTCCTTCTACACGCTGCTCCTCCAATAGCTTCTCCTCATCATCCGCTATCTCCTGCTACTCCCCATCCCATGTATCCCCTTCATGTTTTTCATCCTTCCCGCCGGCTCCCTTCCCTCTTTCATTTCCTCTTCCTCCTCCTCCTCCTCCTCCTCCTCCTCCTCCTTCTCCCTCCTCGTACATTCCTCCCCCTCCTCCTCCTCCTCCTCCTCCTCCGCCTCCTCCTCCTCCCTCCTCGTACATTCCTGCCTGCACGCCCCGCCTCCCACACACACCCCTCAGCACGCCTCCCTCGTTTACCCCGCCTCCTGCCACAACCCCCCTTCCCCTGTCACACTAAACAGATTCTCCTTTCATCCCCATCAGTGCACTGGCACAGGCAAGGTCTGCAAGAAAAGGGGAGAAAGGAGCAGGAGGAAAAGGAGAAAGAGCAGCATGAACCTCACCGAAGATCGGCACGCCAGCCCGCCGCAAGGATACTCGCCCACTGACTTCCGGAGCATGTCCAGCACGTGCAGCAATACGGCTGACAGTGAGTTGCACAGGACATTGGGTACAGTCGATGATGGATAAAGACCATGAGCTTTTTCCTCGAATATACCAAGCAATATAAGCACTCCAAGGTGGAGAGCCCAAACACGCAAAGCGTGAAGGTATCCCTCCATGGCTAGGGACGCCCACCCGGTATGGGTGGCGGGGACGCGTGCGGGCGGCACCATTTGGGCCTTGGGTGGAGTTCCCCATGAGGCCACGAAACGTGCGAGGGGTGTGCCGAAATGGTTGCCTGCTGCGGAGGGCAGATACAGGGATTGAAGGAGGGAGGAGCGGGAGGAGGAGGAGGAGGAGGAGACGAGAGGAGGGACACGGGGCGCTGTCTCTTCAAAACGAGGACCCAACACGACAGGATGGCAGGGAAACAGGCATGACGTCGGGGGACTGGGCAGCTAACAAGTGACATGTCGACCCCTATCGCAGACTTCGCGGGGCGTTCGACTGGACCAGAAACGTTGGGCCCAGCCCTGGAGTATACAATGGGGGGGCGCGCCTCCTCGATCGGGGTGCCTCCGGATAGCCACCTTTGGGCGTGGTGATCCCAGGGGCTTCCTCGTTTTTTGAGCGGCTTCCTCGGTCGTCGAAGCGTCGGGCGCTGGGGGAAAAAACTCGCCTGCGAGTGCCGTGTTCGACCCGCCGCGGCACCAGAAGTCCCGACCGCCTCGTCGGAGCACTGGGCGTGAGAGGCCGGGAGGGCCGCGGCGGCCCGGCGACGCCCGATGCCCCGAGAGCGGACGGCGCGTCGCTCCCCTCCGCGGGGCGGGAGGCTGAGAAAGGCTGGCGACATTGTCGGTGGTAACTCATGGGAGCCTCCCATGCCGTCTTGCCGGCTCTTGCGAGTCGACGCCAAAGCGACGCCAAATCGACGCTGATCGACGCTACGTCGACACGAAGTGGCGCCAAACGACGCTAGATCGGCGCTAGCACATCGACTCCCAGACGCTAGTCGACACCAGTCGACGCTGAACACAAAATTGCGAGGGTACACAAAGCTCCCATGATGTGCTACCGAAGACGTTGACGCCTGGGGACTGGGAGCTGGACAGCGTGCCGCTCCGCAGCGTGCTGGGCGAGAACAGTCGGCGGTGGACAAACCTCCCTTCAATAAACCTTCCCTTAGTGAAAACGGCCTGAGACCGAAACCGACGGACCTGGACCCGCAAAAATGACGGCCGCGACGCCCTCTCGCGAACCGAAAACGGCCAATTCCTCAATCGACGCGTCAGGGTAGGAGGCCTGTCCACCTCCGAAACAGGCGGGGCGACACGCTGACCCTCAGATCCGGCGCCGCGAAGCAGCTGACACACGACGAACAAACTACCGAAGCCCGCCTCTCTGCAGCATTCGTCGAGCCAAATATGAAGGGGCCCTGGGACACACAACTAAATACACACAAATATAAAGATTCCCCATATTTTCCTATATTTTCTGGGTTTTTGTCGTCCCCCCCACTTCCCATATTTTCCAATATTTTCCTGGCACTCGACGATGAATTGTGTCTGTGTGTTTCTTTCCCTCCTGAGACACATGCCGAACAAACTACCGAAGCCCACCTCTCTGCAACATTCGTCGAGCCAAATCATCGATCTGAGATGGCCCCCCGGGGCCCGAAACCAGGCGAAAACGCCGGGTGTGCAAAACAAATCCCAAAGATGCGATGCCTTGATCTCTTCGAAGCGAGATCCTCAGAAATCCCGACGCCTTCCCTGGGACGGGCTTTTCATCCTGATTCGTTGTTCAACGGTCTTGAGGCCCCGCGAGAGCCTTCAGAGGCCGAAATATGGATTCTGTTCAACACGTTGGGTCTCTGGGATTGCATCGCCCGGATCTCAGGGTGGTGACCGAAAAGCCAGGGAGGGATGAGGGGCAACGATACGGGGGGGACTGGCATGTAGGGGGGAAGCATCGACCTGGAATCGGCGATAAATCGCCGATTGATCAGCGATAAGACCCCGATCGTGAATCCGTCGGTTCCTGGAGAGGTTGGTGCTATCGGCGATGAATGGGCGATTGGGGGTGGATTGGGGAAACCAGAAAGTACCGATACCGCTACTCTCCAGACCTCTTCTGGAGTGCCTTCTGAGCAGAATTTCGACGCGAATCCAGCGGTGGCGACGAGAGCCTCCCAGGAGACTGAAAAAATTGGAAATCTGGCGAAATGTAGCCGTATGGGTACCTTTCCCAGACATGCGACGTCTTGTTTTTTTCAGGACGGCGTACCTGGAAGTCCCGACCCTTCCCCCGGGACCGGTTTTTCGTCCTAGGAGCCGTTTTTTGACGGTCCCGAGGCCCGGCGAGGGCCCCCGGGGCCGAAAGTAGCCAAAAACCTCCCGTCCTGATTCTTTAACGACGCGATCACGTCTGAGTTCCTCCCCTGCTCGATGCGTCCCCCCCGATGCCTTATACCCCCCCGTCGTGGCCCTGGAAGGGAGCGGCCGGGAGCGGGCGGGCTGCGCCCGGCCCTCGGGTGCGCTTCCGTCCCGGCTCTTGTTCTGTTGGCCCCCATAGAGGCCCTCCTCCACCTCCTCCTCCTCCTCCTCTCCTCCTCCTCCTCCCCCCTCCCCCTCCCCCTCCTCCTCCTCCCCCTCCCCCTCCTCTTCCTCTTCCTCCTCCTCCTCCTCCTCCTCCTCCTCCTCCTCCTCCTCCTCCCCCTCCTCCTCCTCGGGTCGCCTACGGCCCTTTAGTAGAACGTGGCTCAGTGAAAGCGACCTCAAGCCCAAACCTGGCGGGCACAGGCCTGGAAAATGCCGGCCGCGGCGCCCTCTCGAGAACCGACAACGAACAATTCACTAACCGGCGCGTCAGGGTGTGGGCCCTGCCCCCCCCCAACCAACGGTCCCCGGAGGCCGAAGCCCTGGAAAAAAGACCGCCGGATTGAAAAAACACATCCTCGGACCTCTGGGCCTCCCCCCCCCCAGGGACGGCGACCACAGGGGGGCGCGGGAGGAGAAGGACGCGACCACACCCCTCTATTCAAAACGAATACAGACCCCCTCGGGCAATGGAAAGATCACGACGGACGGGTTTTCGCCACGTTCGGCCTCTGCGGGGCCTCGCTGGGCCTCGGGACCGTCCACAAACGATCCAGGATGAAAAGCCGGTCCTGGGGAAGGGGTCGAGACCTCGATCTGGGGGTGGACGTTGTGAAAACTCCTGACGTCGGGGGTCCGGGCCCGTCGTTGCCCCCGGCGTAGGAGGCCGCCTGGATGGGGTCCGAGTAGATGGGGTCGAGGCATCGCGCCGTATCGTCAATGCATCGCCGATGCATCACCGACGCATCGGCGACGTCGGCGACGCATCCGCGACGCCGACGTGAAGCAAATCGGGCTCCACATCGAGCCGCATCGCCAATGCATCGTCGATGCGGCGCGATCCTCCGACCCCATCTACTCGGACCCCGTCGAGGAGGAGCGAGCGGCCAGGCGCGGGCGGGAGGTGCCCGGCCGGGGCCTCGCAGCATAGGCGCCCAGGCCGGTAAAAGGCAGCCCCGGGTGGCCGCACCTCAGCTGTAGCCCGCGGCGCTGGACGACGGCGACGACAACGACGGCGATGACGACGACGATGACGACCACACGAGGACGACGACGACGACGAGGACGAGGACGAGGACGAGGATGACGACGACGACGAACACGACGACGTCGACGACAACGTCGACGACGACGATACCCCGCCGCCGACGACGACAACCACGACGACGAGGACGACGACGATGAGGCCGAGGCCGAGGACGAAGAGGCCGAGGACGATGACGACGAGGACTAGGACAAGGACGAGGACGAGGACGAGGACGAGAACGACGACGACGACGACGATGATGACGACGACGACGACGACGACGACGACGACGACGACGACGACGACGACGACGACGACGACACCGCCGCCGCGGCCGCCGCCGCCGCCGACGACGACGACGACAAAGACGCTGCGATGAAGTCGACGACGAGGACGTCGACGACGACGACGCCGACGACAGAAGTCAACCATGAAGGCCATTGCAAATCATTTGCTCCGCGCGCACGCGGCGCGCGGGGGGTGGGGGGGTCGTTGAGCTCAGGCCCAAACATCCGGCTGCAAAAAATAGAAGCAGCGGGATGCAGCCGGTCCATCTTGAATCTGCTCCGCTGCTCTGCTCTGGCTGCTCAAGAGCTGCTTCGATGCATGGGCTCCGGAGACCCGGACCACTTCCCTGGGGCCAGTGTTTCGTCCTGGGTTGTTTTTTGACGCTCCCGAAGCCTGTTGAGGGCCGCCAGAGGCCGAAACCAGCCAAAAACCGCCTGCTCCGATTTTCGTTGGAGCGTCCGATCTCTGGGAGGGGGGAGGGGCTCGCATGCTGCCCGGTGCTGCCCCCGCTCTCCCAAGCCTGGATCGCGCCACTCGGCAACCATTGCCCCCCAGCTTTTGGTGCCCTGAGTGCAACGCACAGGGGTCGGGGATCTGAGGGGGACAGCAAAGGGGGGTTTGAGAATCAGCTCACGTAGCTGATTTTCCCGGCGCCTCCCGGCGCCGGGAGGCGCCCATGTATCGAGGAATGGGCCCAGCGGCGAGGCCGAAACCAGCTGCATGCAGCAGATGTCGTAACCCCCCCTTTCCCAATCCCCCCCCTTCGTCCGGCCCGACACGCAATGGGGGATCAACTGACCCGGGCCGACCCAAACCCAGGTACGGCAGGTTCGCGTCGTGTCGACCCCGGCGTTAGTTTCTGACACCGCGGGGATCGTTCAACCTTGAACGATCGGCCGCTGCCGCAACGTCCGATCGTTCAACATCGATCGATTCTGGGTCGCCGGCGGCGTTCAACCTTGAACGCCCGCGCTGGGGTCGCCGCTGGTCGACACGACGCAGACCTACCGTGGGGCGTTGCAGGATCCTGCAAGTGATGCTGCAAGGCCCTGCAGGCTCCTGCGCGCGAGGCCGGGTCGGTGCACCCCATGGCTCTGCAGGACCCCGAAAGGGCCCGGCGCTCTGACGGACCCCCGTTTGCATCGGTCGGCTACACGCAGGAGTGACCCGGGAGGGGGAGGAGGAGGAGGAGGAGGAGGAGGAGGAGGAGGAGGAGGAGGAGGAGGAGGAGGAGGAGGAGGAGGAGGAGGAGGAGGAGGAGGGGAGGGGAGGAGGAGGAGGAGGAGGAGGAGGAGGAGGAGGAGGAGGGGAGGGAGGAGGAGGAGGAGGAGGGCGGCTTCTTGGGGCCGCGGGGGGACCAAAACTGGGCGCGCAGGCCGCTGCTCCGGCCTCGTGCTCCGCCATCCGGGGGCCCCTCTGTGCCCGCACCAAAGGCCACTCCGGCGAAAGGTCAGCTCTGACGTCTCATCGAATTGGCCCCCGTCGGAGCATCGGCCCCCGCCCCTTATAAGAGCCCCGGGCAGGGGGGCCCTCGAGGCGGCGTCCGCTCTCGGCCTCCAGGGGCCCTCGCCGGGCCCCGGGGGCCGCAGAGGCTATGCTCGGGCTGAGAGGAGCAAAGCCCCGGGGGGATGGGGCCGGGGCCTCGCCGGGGGCCCACGCCGCGAAGGAGAAGCGACGACGGAGTTCTGGGTTCCTCCTCCTCCTCCTCCTCCTCCTCCGCCTCCTCCTCCTCCTCCTCCTCCCTCTCCTCCCTCCTCCTCCTCCTCCCTCCTCCTCCTTCTCCTGCGGTTCGCCCTCTTCCGTCCCCAGAGCTCCGACGACTGGATTCCTTCCACCAGCGTGCGTTCCTCCACGTCGGCTCTCGGGAGGCTGCCATCGGCCCGGGGACCACCAAGCACGGGTAGGGGACGCGAGACGATCCCAGCGGAAGGGGTCGGGAGCTCTGGAGACGCGTATGACATGCGACGTCATGATTGTTTCAAGGCGGGCCCCCCGAAGGGCCAATTTTTCATCCTGAATCAATGTTTCACGGTCCCCGAGCCCCGCAAGGGCCCCCAGAGGGCGAAAATAGCAAAAAACCTCACGTCGTGACTTTTTGCTTACGACGCGATCATGCCTGGGGTGCTCGTCCCCCTCCTCGTCCCACGTCCCCCTGGTCGGTCGGTCAGTGAGGTTCAGAGGTCGGGCAAGTGGAAAAAAGGTGGGCCGGTGCACGGAGATGGGGGGAGATAAGGTGCAGGCCACGAGCCTAGACTTGTGGATGCCATGACAATGGACATTCTAACCATCCGATCATTGAGTCAAAGATGGGCTCCAATGTGTGAACCATGTTCTGAAAAGATTCGAACATGTCTCTAACGTGCTTAAAACATAATCAAAAACATCTGTTAGGCATCTGGACATTATTTGGCAGCATGCTTCCTCTCCACTAGTCGACCTCCGCAAGCCTCGACGGCGGGCTCGCACGCCGCCAGCTACCAGTGGGCTCCTCGGGCTGGGGCGTCGAAGCCCGGGCCAGGCTGGCACCCAGGGGCTGAAGGTGGCAAGGGAGCGGCGAGAGCACGGGGGCCTTGCGCGAAATGGCGCAGCGACCCTACGCGGTGGCGTCGAAGCCCGGGCCAGACTGGCACCCAGAGGCTGAGGGCGGCAAGGGAGCAGCGAGAGCACAGGGGCCTTGCGCGAGATGGCGCAGCGAGCTTGCGCGGTGGCTGGAGGGGGAGGAGGAGGAGGGGGAGGAGGGGGAGGAGGAGGAGGAGGAGGAGGAGGAGGAGGAGGAGGAGGAGGATTACGCGGGCCGCCCGCGCGGCACGCCAAACTCGAAGCGAGGGTGCGTGCGCACGACCTTGCGCGAGCAGCTTACGCTCCAGTGTCGGCGAAGACGGCCCCGTTGTTTTGGAGTCGCTCACGGGGCGCCTGCGTAGGATGGGAGGCCGTCGCATCATCGTGGGTAGCCCGAGCACGACAGTCGACGACGCCAGCACAGATGACATCAGCAGCAACACCCTTCCAATTCCATGGTGGATAAGCATATTGGAAGCTGAACACGTGGACGCACGGGAATGATAGGTGAGGGAGCGTGGTGCCCCTGCCCACCCCCCCCTCCCCCTTCTCCACTCTATTTCCTTATCAATAACTTCTCCCTGTCGAACCCCGAGGCCAATGTTTACGGCGGGCTGGGCGTTTCGCCTGAGACTTCTCATGATTCTTGACCCTGAACTTATAATTTGCAACAGCTTCACAGATGGAGGGCGGGTCGTTTTCAAAATGTGGCTCTCGCCTTCGTGCCGCGCACAGTCGTTTTAAAGAATTGCAAGAATGTCGACACGTTGTCAAAATGTGGCTCTCGCCTTAGCGCCGCGCACATTCGTTGCAAAATGTGCAAGGGTTTCACGGCTTGAAGGCGTTCCCTTTTCAAAATGTGGCTCTCGCCTTAGCGCCGCACACGTTCGCTTCTAAAGTTTGGAAGAATTGCACGGATTTCCATGCTAAGCGTACCATAAAAAATGTATTGGAAGGATTCAGGATTACGCGGGTGCAATTACGTTGGTTCGCGGCGTTGAAGTCCCAGGAATGACGTTCTGGCACGATTCCGAATCGTCAAGACGCAACACTGAGGTTGACCCGTGGCGTTGGAATCCCGAGGACAATGTCTTGGCGTGCTTCAGGGTCTTCAAACGGTTGTCTTCCAACGAGGCAATTCCCTCTGTGGATATAAACCGTTGTAGAAGCCTATCATCATCATAATCCTCATCATCACCACCACCATCATCATCATCAGCAGCATCATCATCATCATCATGATGATCATCATCATCATCAGCATCATCATCATCATCATCAGCATCATCATCATCATCAGCATCATCATCATCATCAGCATCATCATCATCATCGTCCTTATCATGATCATGAGCATAAAACATCATCATCAGCATAATCATCAGCATCATCATCCGCATCAGCATCACCATAAGCATCATCGTCATTATAATCATCAGCGCACACATCAACATCAGACTGCAAATCATCATCGCCATCACCAACATCAGCATCATCATAATCATCCGAATCACCATCATCATCATCATCATCATCATCATCATCATCAGCATCACCATCGCCGTCAATATCGTCATCATCATCCTCATCATCATCGTCATCCTCAGCGGCATCATCGTCGTCATCGTCATCAACAGCATCACAATCAACATAAGCAACATCATCATCAGCAGCAGCACCGTCGTCGTCATAATCAGTAGCATAATCATCATCATGATCAACCTCATCAGCAAATTCTTCTTGATCATCATCAGCAGCATCATCATCATCAGCATCCCCATAATCATCATCAACATCGTCGTCATCATCAGCATCATCAGCGTACCTGTATGAAGCAAACTATCTCCCTCATGATCTTCCTGCCCGTCCTCCTAGGTAGCATCTTGCAACTGCTGGTTGGTCCATCCCCTCCTCATCTCTATGAACACTACCTTGCTTGGTCGTCTTCGCCATCCGCTCATCGTTCTTGGTATGCACTTTGTACGCCACTTTCCCTGAACTACTGGTCCTCCCCTGCCCCGCGTCATCCCCGTCTGCCTCTGGATTCCCCCCCCTTCCCTCCCTGTCCCTCGTCTTCCTTCCCCTAGGGGAACGAAGAATTACATAAACAACAAATTCGGAGGTCAGCGCGGATTTCTCAGATCGGCGCAGGGGCGGCGCTGGAGGCGCCAGCAGGGGTGTCCAGAGCGGGGGGGGCGAGAAGTCCGCGCGGACCTCCGAATTGTTATGTTTATGTCGTTCTTTGTTCCCCTACTTTCCCTCCTTCCCCTCATCCTCATGTCCTCCCGCATGCCCCTCCCATTCCTCCTCCCGACCGTAAGCCTCATGGGTACCCGACTGCGTCGACCGCGGCGCGACTGAGCACGCTGCCTGAGCCGCGCGTCAACCCTTCGGCGCCGGGCGGGGCGCAACAGAAGCCGAAATGCTTTTAGGAGAAAAAACAATAACTGGAGGAGGAGGAAAACTGACAGCGCTGCGGGTGACAAACAGGAGCTGTGCGGCCTCCCCCCTGAGGAGAAGGGGGAAGAACAATGACCTGATGCGATGAGGCTCGGAGAAGCAGAAGGCTGACAACGCTGATAATGGCAGCTGGCCCGATGCATGTAGCAAACTGCAACTGGGTCACAGTCAATGTTGGAGAAAAGCCGCCACCCAAATGGACCACACCACCTCCTGCTCACAAGAGTCTCCCTGCCCCGATGCCCTGCCAAAAAAGACCGAGCCCAGGTAGTCCTCCAGAGTCTCCCAGGAGCAGGCCTGCGCCCAGCAACGCGTGAAGCAATCGCCAGACACAGCTCGGACCTGGCACGACCCAGTAGAGCTCATCTGCGTAATCCTCCTCCCCGTGCTCCTCCTCTGCACATCCCTTCTCCTCCTCATTCTTGCGCTACCCAGGCAAACAGGCTGCCGTGAGGCCTGGAAGAATTGCCCACAGCAGCGACAGGGCGAACGCGGGCGACGACGAGTCGCACGGGCAGCGGAGAGAAGGCTGCACTGGCAGGGGGACCCAGGATTCAGCACACAGCACACATCCATGCGCTTGCGCTTCCCTGCCGCTCCGCTGCGCCTGCCCCTTCCGCCCACCACCACTGCAGCTCTTCTCATGATCCATAAAGGTACCCCATAGACCTGTGGGAGCGGTCCTGAGCTAAGAGGCCAAAAGCACTGGGGATGGGGAATCTTTTCTGCAGGTGCATCCATGACGATTGCCCTCAGTGCAAGCAAGCACGGGACGGGGTCGGTGCAGATGCGGCAGCAAGTAGATTTACTAATTCCCCCGATTTACTAATTTCCCCAAGGTTTTTGACGAATTTGGGCGTTCTCGCCTCTTCCACTTCCCGACACTCCAAGACGGCCTCGGAGGTCCCCACAATCGCACCAAGACGGCCCAAGAGGCGCTCAAGACGGCCCAAGACGGCCCAAGAGGCGCCCAAGAGGGCCCAACAGGGTCCCACTAGGAGCCCAGGAAGGGCAACTCAAACTGAAATTCCAAGCCCTCCGCCTCAAGATGGCCCCGGAGACCGCCAGCAAACGCGCCCAAACCTCCCAAGTGGCACAAAGAAGCTCCCACACGGTCTCTAAAAGAATCCCAAAAGCTTCACCGTGGACTTCTTCCCTCTTCTGGGGGTCGGCGGAATGGCGTAAGCATCTTGAAAAACTCGCGATGCAAGGCTGGACGTTCTGCAAGGTTCACACGGATTTCCTAAGCCTGCTCACCAGCACCCAGAGAGGCAGCCCTCACCTTCTTGTTCAAAGTCTGCTTGAACAGGTTTAAAACAGTGTCCTCGTCGCCCTTGTTCGTGAAGTGGGTCTTGTCGAAGCCTTTTTTGAAGCCCTCGACTGTGTCAACTTCTAGCTCGGCAGCTCGCTCGTACATCCACCACACGGGGGGGCTGATGTAAGCGTTCGTAATGTTGTCGAAGCTGAATGCGAGAGAGAACTCGAAGAAACACCAGCCTCGCGAGAAGTACTCTGTACCAGCAACGACCTCGTCGTCCATGGCCAGGACGATCACGGGCGTGTTACTCATGCTGTATATCAACTCCATCGATCCGAGAGCCTTCTTGAACAAGGCCTCTTCCTCCTTTGTGCGGACAGCAGGGTGCTCTCCAGGTTTGGGCACCTTGTCCTCCTTCTCCCACAGATCGTAGTCGGGGTGCATTTTGTCATTCTGAGGGAGCCCCATATTCGCCACCGCGCCTGCAGCGCAGTAGGTACGGATGGAGCCCTTTGTGGCTTCTGAGCATGCTGTTTTCCTTGCGAAGCACTAATCGGATCCCGCGATGGTTTGGCGTCAAATCTCGGCGTTTGAAGGGCTTCGGATGCGCGAAGTGCGCGAGCTCATGAAACCTAGGGCGACTGGTGCAGGAGTGATTCAGCCACAGAGAGGTGCCCGAATTAGGAATCCCAGCGACCAGCCCCCCCCCCACAAGGACACTTCCTGTCTGGCTGCGCTGGCATCCTGCCGATCGCCACGAGGCAGCCTGGTGACCCTTCGAGACGGCCCCAACGACCTCCCCCGACGCCCCGCAGCCCGCCCAGGGCGACCCCGAGGCTCCCTGCAGGCAGCTCAGAGGCCCCCGGACGGAGCTCTCGAGAAGGCCCCCGATGGATGCCAGACCTCCTTCTCGACAGCTGCGAGGGGCACGGTTCATCGCGGCCAACGTCGGCACGACGCACCCGCGTGCGAAAACCGCGCCCAGCAAGAGCGGGGAGAGCGAGACGAGGGAGGCGGACACGCGGAGACGGGGGACGGGGATAACCTTTGTGCCCTCGAGGCAGGGCGCCCAGCGCTTCCGGTGCCGGTGCCGGACCCGAGTGAGGCTCCATGGGACGCACATGGACATACTAATACCAGATGTCCTCCTTGGAGGCGCGCGTCCGACCCGAACATATAGTATACCCATCTTGTAGTATATCGTTTCCCGAGCGGTGTGGCCAGAAAGCGCCCGCCACGACGCATATACTACAAGATTTCTCGGTGCGCGCGTCGCCCCTGGGGGGGCGACGCACATATAGTACAAGTATGTTGGGGGGATGCCGAGCTCCAGGGTCCGCGGCCGCGGCTGGCCGATGGTTTCGCATGCTTGCCTCGGGTCGGGCATGCCATCCTACAGGCGGATGTCGGACGAAGGATGCCAAATACCCCAAAGATACCCCGACATTGTCAAGCATAGTAGAAACATCGTCCCACGACTACTGACTATTCTTGACTGCTCATCCTTTGGAGGGGCAGGCCCGACTTCATGCTCGTCGATCTCTCATGATGTTGGCCCGACGGGGGCTCGAAAATGCGCCCCTCGGGCGGGCCTCGGACGCGCCCCCCTGGGGCCGCCCCGGGCCGGCGCCCACAGACGGCTTCGAGGCGACCCCCCCAGACCGCCCCAGAGACGGCCAGGGGCCAGCCCAGGGTGGCGCCAAGGCCGCCTCTCCCCCCGAAAAATGCCCCAAGGCCCCAAGAGAGGAAATCGATCTCTCTCTCTCTCTCTCTCTCTCTCTCTCTCTCTCTATATATATATACACCGACGCTTCTTCGGGCCCTGCACTGGGATTCGCACTGGGGAGCGGATCCTTGTGCATACGGGATCCTGGTGTATGCAGTTTTCGTTGTTCCCCCTGGGAACACGGAGAAACAAGTATACACCACACCACCCCAGCGTCGTCCTCGACCCTGAAAAAATCCTGGGATTGAGAAACAGTCCTTCACTGGTAATGTATAGGTTCCAACATCCGACAAGACGGCCCCAAGGCCCCCCCAGCAGCCCCAAGGGCCGCCTGTACGGCCCGAAGACCCTGTGGCCGCCCACGCTGCCTCTCCAAGCGGGGTGGGGATGCGCGGCTGCGCGGCTGGATAGTCGATGAAGACTGCATCGTCGTCGGACGCGTGCAACATCTGCAGCTGCTGCACCAGGACTTGCAGCTTCCTCCCTTTGGGGTCACGGTGGCTCTTCGACAGCCAGGGGTGCGACAGAACGAATCTGTGCTCGACAAGGTTCTCTCCTCTGGCTCGCGGGAAGCCCATGCTGCCGACAAACGCCTCCTCAGGGGGCACCTCTTGGCAACGCACCATGATATTTCCAGATTTGGCTAACCGCCTGAGGCGGGGGTACCCACGATTCAGTGGGAACCAGAGAGTCCTCTCTCTTCCCTCACCTTCCCCCCAATATCCAACCTCCCCTTGCTCCCCTGCTCCCCTGCTCCCCCTGCTCCCCCTTTCCACCTCCCCCTGCTCCCCCTCCAGGCCATCTCCTTCCATCCGCTGTTCCCGCCCCTTCCCCGCGGGGCCACCCCCCACTCACCCCCTCTACCCCCATCTCACCTCCATCTCACCCCTCCCCCTTCATAGGGGCCCCTTCCCTCCCTGTCTTTCCCCAAGGTCTCCCTTCCTCCTCTAGCTTCTCCACAATTACGCAATATGAATACTACTCTCCTCTCTTCCCAGATGACATCCTGAAGATATCCGGCCCCCCTCCGCGTAAGGCTATTATTCTACACACATGATTTCCGGGAGTTGGGGTGTTGCTTTGTTTTTTGTGTTTCAATTGCTCCCGCTGGAGCGCTGGCCTGATTTTCGGGCTTCCGCTCGTTCCGAATCGTGCTCCCGCTGCAGCCGCGGCCTCATTTCAGCGCTTCCGATCGTTCCGAATCGTGCTCCTACTGCAGCGCTGGCCTTCCTTCCAAGTGGGCCTCAAAATATAAAAAATGGCCCCCCGACAACAACCATCGGAAATGCTTACAAATTCTGTGTCGATTCATTTACTCTTTGGGCCGCGCACGACCCCCCGCACTTTGGGGCGTCGCCGTTCTCAGGAAGTATCAAGCGGGAGCCCCGTTTCTGCTTTGAGAAGCCGATGCTGAAATCAGAGCCAGCGGGTGTTCTCTATCAGCCCCGCCTTGTGTGGAGCTTTTCGGGAAGCCCACGGAGCTAGACATGGAGCCACGACTCCAGACCGGCCCAGACCTCTGGCAGACAACCCATTTACCCTCCAAAGAACCTGGCACCATGCCATGACATGCTGTGCGGTCTTGTGTCCTGCGCCGCTGTGCGATGCCATGTGTTGCGTTTCAATGCGTTGTGATGCAATGCTTCACTGCGCAATGCTACGCCATGCTATGGCATGCTACGCTCTGCCGTGCTCTTCTAAGCCATGTCATGCCGTGCTCTACCATGCATCGCGTACTCTCGCGATCATTACCCTGCTCGACATCCGACTGTGCGAATAGAGAGGATATCTACGCCATGGTAAGGGATGAGAGGGAGAGGTTGGGCGTCAGATATGACGCGAGCGCACCTAACTTGTCCTCCTCCCCCTCCCCCTCCCCCTCCTTCTCCTTCTCATGCTTGTCCTGTCATTCCGCCTGCTGCTCCTGCAGATCCTGCTCCTCTATTTCACGAGCCTCCTCCTCCCCCCTTTCAGCTTAATCGTCATCACCACAACCACCAGTATCATCATAATCACCACCATTATCATCTGAATCAGCATCATCATCAGCACCATCATCAGCATCATCAGCGTCATCATCATCAGAGTCATCATCATTATCAACAGTATCACCAACATCATGGTCACCCTCATCATCCTCATCATCCACATCCTCATCATCCTCATCATCATCATCCTTATCATCAGCACCATCAGTCAGCATCATCAGCATCGTCATAACCAGCATCATCATTATCATCATCAACATCATCATACTCATCAGCATGACCATCAATATCACCATCATCATCACCGTCACCATAAGCAGCATCGTCATCATCATCAACCTCAGCATCATCATCATCATCAACAGCATCAGCATCATCATCCTCGTCGTCTCTGCCATCGCCATGATCGTCATCATCATGCTCGTCGTTGTCCTCTTCATGTTATTCCGCCTGCATCTCGGATTCCGTGTAGTTGCGCGTTCATGTTACTGCTCATTTCCCTCCTCCTGATCCTCCTGCTCATTATTCTGCTCTTCCACTTCCTGAGCCTCCTCCTGCGCCTCCTTCTCCTCATCCTGCTTCTCATTATCCTGCTCCTCGTGTTGTCCCTGATACAGTTCACTTCCTTCCTTCCTCCTCTTCCCTCCATTCCCTGAGCCTATTCCTCCTCCTTTTTCTCCTTTTCATCCTCCTCCTGCCTCTGGCTCCTGAGCCCCCTCCTACTCCTCCATTTCATCCTCCTAACCCTTCCTCTCCTCCTCCTCCTCCTCCTCCTCCTCCTCCTCCTCCTCCTCCTTCTCCTCTTCCTCTCCTCCTCCGCCCCTCCTACCGCTGAGGCCTGAGGTAGCCGCACTTGACCCACTTCACCTGCGCCTCGTCGAGGTAGGCCAGGTACTCCTCGTAGAACGCCTGCAGCTCGCCGTGCTTGTACGAGTTGACCTTCCCGAAAGCCTCTTGCGCCAGCCGCCGCAACCAGGGGGGGCCCACCAGCCCCGAGAGAAGCACGACGGAGAGGCAGTTGAGCACGTTGTCGCACGCCCACGCGGCGGCCCAAGGGAGAAAGCTCAGCTAGGGGAACGAAAAATTACATTAACATAAAGCTCTGAGGTCCGCGCGGATTTCTTGGATCCGCGCTGGAGCGCGCCAGGGGCGGCGCTGGAGGCGCCGCCAGGGGGCCCAAGCTCCGATCCGAGAAATCCGCGCGGACGTCCGAGTTATATTGTTTATGTCTTTGTTCGTTTCCCTACGTGCGACGACATAGCTGCGCGTACGAAAAAGCCCAGCTGCGCGTACGAGGCGGCCAAGGACAGCAGGACCGCGACGCCCGCGGTGCCCACCCACCCGGCCGCCCGGGCCGCCCCCGCGCGCCGGGAGCGCCAGCCCTGCCACGCGCCAACCAGGTGCCCCCACGCCGCGCAGCAGGACCCCGCGCCCTGGAAAACGTGGAGCAGGAAGATGCAAAGAGGCCTTGGGCATCGTTTAGTCGATCCCTAGCCCCACAGGC